AATTGTAGAAAATGTGTTACTCCACTTGCAAAAAAGCTCAACTTTCATGACTGTGAAATTAGATCAGACAAGAGGTTTGTGCCCACATGGTGAATGTTCATCTTGTGACCATACACATCCATTTAATCACTTTTATTTTGAAATTAATCACCTGCTTTTAATGTTGCTTGTTCCACCTCCTTTCTTTGTTCCCATTTTCCTGTGAATATTTCAGCCAGATACATTTCCTACCAGCTAATTAGCCACCTAGCATATATACAGCCATCCTCCCCTTTGTTCCCTGCCTCACTGTTTAAAAGCAACCTTTAAGATTGGCTTGTTGGAGTTTTTAGACCCTACCTACCAGTGTATGACCCAAGCTTTGAACATTAAAACTGAGTTATGGATCATTACCACGGTAGAGTTTTGAATTAATGGATATGTCTCAATCTCCTTTTTCTTTGCAAAGTGTTTTTTCACACTTATATTTAGTTTTCAGTTTAATTTTAGTTATCTAGAATAACCCTGAAACAGGCCAGTAATGAAAACACGAAAGGAAAGAACCTTTCATTTTTATCATTTCCTGTCACGCTATGACACAACAGCACCAAACCTTTTGAACTATTTCAAGTCTTACCATAACACCAAACTAAACTGAACGTTCCCAACAACAATAGATATGCCGGCAACATAACAACCCCCATTCTACAAAAGAAACAGCATCAACAGCTACCAATATAAACCACCAGACTGATGTGTTTTTAAGCTTTATATCTCAAAGAGTTAACATGGCTACAAACCGTTAATCTTACATTGGAGTGCTTTTACAGCACTTACATCCAACATCTACTCAGTTTAATCTTCTTTTATTATTGTTATTATTATAAACCAATAAATTTTCTTTGTAAGCATTTATTGTGGCATAGAGAGATTTAAGAAATGTCCTGACAAAGAAGGTTAGTGATTAAGATGATCAGAATATTTTCCCGTTGTTAAATATGAGAAACACAAAGAACTTTGTATCCGTAATCTGTCACAACACAGACTGCAATACAGCAGAGGTTAATACAAACTATGGCCGAGTTTCTCAGTAGCTTTATTAAAGTACGAGCAAACAAAAAAAGAGTCAAGTTCATGTCCCGGTGAAGAACCAGTTTTCAAAGCCTAAAAGCAAGAGCTACCTAGCTTAAGTACCTACCCGTCATATTTATCTAGATTGGCCTCTGTTTTCAAGTGGTCTTCAGCATGATTGGCACGCTCTGTAACTATGGAAACAAATCAAATGGCAAGCATTAGTAGGCATTCAATGAAAGGGAATATACTGACAAAATAACTAGGCACTTTGTGGCTTGACTGGTAGAACAAGCACTCTATTACATGCATTTTGAAATACAAGACAAGGAAAGTACTTCACCTTTGAAACATTCACTGGAACCTATCGAGCAGACTAATGGTCAGAAGAGGCATAAGTGTGCTGGCAACCCCCCCCCCAAAAAAAACTCAACCTAATTCAGCTACTGTATACTAGCAAGCAAAATGAGCCTATAAAACCAAAAACAATATTTCAACAGTAATTCTGTTTACCAGGCATATAATAGCAACACACACACACACAATCCTGTAACCTACAGCAGCTGTAGGAAGCCCAAGGTGAATAGCGGTCCCTCTGATGGACCATCAATACCCCAGACTATGTGTAGCTGTAACAAACACTTATTGAATAATAGATGTGTTTGGATACCCGAGCTTATCAACTATCACAGCTTCCATTAAGGTGGTGGCATGATTAATGGCACTATAAGCCAAATCATATCCTTGCAAGCCTCTCCAGTCCCCACGAGAGGCCACAGTGGCAGTGGAGATCTATATGGCAACCATCAAGACTCATTTTTTATTTAAATGTTGAGGAATGCTACTGATAGGGACTCACCAATCACAGTGGTCGCAATGCCGGCAAGGCGAAACATCGGGGCCACCTTCTGCTCGTAAATACGTTTCCCACGACGCTTTCCACCGAATGGATTGATGTATACCAGAAGGCTCTTTGGTCGATTGGCTGCAAAAAGAGGGAGGGGCATGAGATCATCTTTTAAAATGTGTAGAGTTTACCTTTTTTTTTTTTTTGAAACAAATGTCCAGCTGACAAAAGCTTGATGAAGTTTTCATTAACCAGAGACCTTTCTCAAAATGCTCAGTCAACCTGACTTGTCCCCAAAACATGCCGCTCAAGAAATAAATGGTGTGTCTACTGACTGTAGGAGGAGTGCGAAGCAATTCAGAGGCACTGCATCATTCGGTGATAAACCTACAAAGAGCTGCGATGGAGAATACTAAATGGCTTGTTTATGGCTGTTGTGGAGGAGTGCATTTAGGACAACAAACTAAGATACATGGGATGCTCAAAGTGAAAATGAATGGATTTGGATCAAGTGTTAAATAAGTACAAAGAAATATAGGGTGCCATATTGTTTGGCAATAAGACAAAAGTTCCATTAGATTACATAAATGGATTGTAAATGGGCCATGTAAAGGTGTGTGACTAATACTACTGAAGATGCAGCGACTTATTCAAAATGAATGTGGTTAATTACCTTGAATTGATTCATCCTGCCAAGTGAAATGGGACTAAGAGGACCATTTTAAATAGCTTAAACCCACCTTCCACTCTTATTTCAGCATGTTAGTTAAACACTAAATTCTGTACAGCCTAATCATGTGATGCTTACTAAACCCAGAGCATAAGAAAGCATTTTGCACTCAGGTGAAAAATAAAATGCAAACTCAATATGCTTGAATAATAGTCTAGTAACTTTGTATCACCATGTAATCTGTTAGTACACAAAAAACATTACATTTAGCAAGCTAATTATTTTGTAAACATGTTGATGGATAATGTGCTGCTATGTT